TGAAGCAAGAGAATTGCCTTAGCCCAAGAGTTGGAGGTTGCTGTGAGCTATGACACCATGGTACTCTACTGAGGGCAACAAAGTGAGACTGTCTGTAAAAAAAAAAAAAAAGGAAATCAGCTCAATAATCTTCAGGCTCTACCAGACCTTTTTTCTCTCTAGGTAACATTTGCTCTGGTCTCAAGCTCACTCAATTTTCTCAAAAATTCTGCGTTGGCCTTAATAGCCCATCTCTAAAGATGGCGCCCCATCCCAATTCCCTATTTCTCTTTGCCTCTCAGCTTTTCCCCTGACCCCAGGTCCTTTCACTGAGTAGCTTTTCCAACTCTGCATTTCAAGATGAAGCCAGAGTTGCAAATTAGAGCTCTCCAATTTCTCCCCCCACCTCACCCCCAGACAACTTTCCTTTTGTGATGCTTTGTGTCTGCCTCTTGCCATTGCAACCTCCTATTCCAAGCTCCATTCCCCACTAAGCTGGTCCCCACACTGCCCTCCTCTCATCCTGCTTAGCCTGCCAGGCACTTCCAGAAGTTTCCCAAACTCACAGTCACCTGTGGGTAATCCTTGGCTCAACATCTTGGGGGCTTCCTGTCTCAAGTCCCAATGCGCAGCTGGGCTTCATGGAACCAGCCTCCAGCCCTGCAGCTCACTATCTCAGCACACTCTTCCTCTGGGGCCTCCTGAGCACCAAGCGGTGAGCGCAGCCTTCCTCAGTGCCAGTCAGACTGGTGTCTCGCCCTTTGCCCCTGCCTGGCTTTTCTCTGCACCATGACTTTGCTCAGTGTGCCACTGCCTGGGCACCCTGCTTTCCGGTCAGCCCAAACATGACAACATGTTCAAGGGCCAGCTCTTCCAAGATGTCTCTCCTGAGTAATCCCACCCACCTGAGGGAGGTTCCTCTTTCGCTGGTCCTTGGGCCCACAAACCTTATTCTGCACAATGAGTTCCCTGGTGACTGCTCACCACTGGTGCCATTGACATGGCCACCATTACGATGTACCCAATAGGTACTGGGCCTGACACTGTCACTTTACACAAGTTATTTCATTTGATCTTCCTCAATACATTATAAGGAAGGTCTTACTGGCCCTATTTTATAGATGAGGAAACCAAGGCTCAAAGAGGCTAAGGAACTTGCCAGAGCTGACAGGACAGGTTAGGAACTCGACCCTGTCCACCTGACTCCAGAACTCAGGTTCTCCAGCACCACTGTGCCACTTGCTAGAAATTCCTGTGTGTATTTACCCATTTAGCATCTCACCCCACATAGAAGCAGCACTCAATAAATAGCCATCATGACTCTTCCTACCAGCCCATCCCTGCCTGAGTGAGCACACGTTCTGCCCCAACACATGCATTCCTTCTTTCCAACCACAGGACAGTGACTGAGGGCAAAGGGCCAGCTCGTGAGACCCGCCTGTTGCTGTCCAGCATTGGGTAAAGAGCTACACATGCCACAGTTGTGTTCATGTGGATGTGTGGCAGCGTCTTGCTAAGTGGCGTTCATATTTGTTATTGCATGTTTTTGTGCACCATCGCTTGAATTAGAGCAACAAACATTCCTAAATTTCTTTTTCTTTTTTTTTTTTTTTGTTGCCCTCAGTAGAGCGCTGTGGCATCACAGCTCACAGCAACCTCTAGCTCTTGGGCTTAGGTGATTCTCTTGCCTCAGCCTCCCGAGTAGCTGGGACTACAGGCCCCTGCCACAACTCCCAGCTATTTTTGTTGTTGTTGTAGTTTGGCCGGGGCTGGGTTCTAACACTCCACCCCCAGTATATGGGGCCAGCGCCCTACTCACTGAGCCAGAGGCGCCACCCTAAATTTCTTCTTAAACATGGCAAAAGTAGAAGTGAAATCAGGGATGTGTTAGTTCAAGTTTATGGGGACAATGCCATGAAGAAAACAGCAGTGTACAAATAGATTGTTTTCCTGAGAGGAGAGAAAGCTTCACTGGAGAAGAGAGGTCAGGGTGGCCAATGAGCAAAACTGATGATCTGGGCCAGGTGCAGTGGCACATACCTGTAATCCTAACACTTGGGAGGCTGAGGCAGGTAGAGCACTTGAGCCCACAAGTTGGAGACCAGCCTGAGCAAAAGCAGGACTCCTTCTCTACTAAAATAGAAAAACTGAGGCAAGAGGAATGCTTTGAGCCCAAGAGTTGGAGGTTGCTGTGAGCTATGATGTCTCCACGGCCCTCTATCCAGGATGACAGCTTGAGACTTTATCTCAAAACAAACAAACCAAAAAACAAACAAACAAACAAAACCTGACACTCTCGCATCATAACAACACACCAGCTTACACAGCACCGTCTATAAGGGAGTTTTTAGCCAGAAAACAACAACTGTTTAGGAATACCCATGCTACTCATCAGGCCCACAATGACTTTTTTCATTACTCAAAGATAAACAAAATATTGAAGGGAAGACATTGGAGGGCATACAGGACTTCAAAGGTAATACAGCTTTGATGGACATTCTAGAAAAAAGGTTCCAAAACTGCTTTGAAGGGTGGACTCGGTACTGGCATTGGTGCATAGCTTCCAAAGGGGAGTCCTTCAAAGGAGAACACAGTGATATTCAACTATAAGGTAAGTAGCACTGTTTTGAGGACAAGTTCATGAACTTAAGTGACAGACTTCATATGACCCCAAAGTGAAATGATTACAGGCTTGGCGCCTGTGGCTCAAGTGGCTAAGGTGCCAGCGACATACACCTGAGCTGGTGGGTTCAAATCCAGCCTGGGCCTGCCAAACAACAATGACAGCTGCAACCAAAAAATAGCCGGGTGTTGTGGCGGGGGCCTGTGGTCCCAGCTACTTGGGAGGTAGAGGCAGGAGACTCACTCGAGCCCAGGAGTTAGAGGTTGCTATGAGCTGTGATGCCACAGCACTCTCTACCCAGGGCGACAGCTTGAGGCTCTGGCTCTGTCTCAAAAAAAAAAAGAAAGAAATGATTACAGCTGAGAGTTTTGACTCCTGGGCCTTCTGAGGAAAAATGAGGTGATCTTATCAAAGATCACTTATATACAATGAGTTCCTTACCTCTTGCTGCTTTCAAGATTGTTTTGGAAGCTTTATGAAATGCCCAGTATGCATCTGAGTTTACCGTACTGTAGTTCAGTGACTTCTTGAATGTGTGATTTCTTATCTTTTAATTTTGGAAAATATCTGGCCATATTTCTTCAAATATTCTGACTCTTTCCTCTCCTTCTAGGACTCCCATGATGCATATGTTGACTCACCTTAAGATGTTCCACAGGTAACTGAGGCTCTGTTCATTTTCCTTTGTTCTTTTTTCTTTCTGATCCTCAAACTGGATAATTTCAATTTACCTCTCCTCAAGTTTCCTGATTCTTTCTTCTGCCTGCTCAAATCTGCTGCTGAGCCCCTCTAGTGAATTTTTTATTTCAATGACTATATTTTTCAACTCTAGGATTTGAAATTGGTTCTCTTTTGTCAATTCTATTACTTATTAATAATCTCTAATTAGTGAGGCATTGTTCTCACATTTTCCTTTAGTTCTTTACACATATTTAAAATATTTGATCTAAAGTCTTTGTCTGTACAGTTTAACATCTGGGCTTCTCCAGGGACAGTTTCTACTGACTGCTTCTTTTCCTGTATATGAACCCTACTTTTTCTTTGCATACCCATAATTTTTTTTTTGAAAACAAGAATACTTCAGCTATTTTTTTATATGGCACTTAAAAAGTTTTTCATCCCCAAAACAATTTTTTGAAGAGGGATAAAAGAGCAGAACTATAGTGTCCTGTACTCAAGTCCTTTATGTTGTTATGAATTGCACCCTTCTCTAAATTTTTTTTTTTTTTTGAGACAGAGTCTCACTTTGTCGCCTTTGGTAGAGTGCTCTGGCATTATACCTCACAGCAACCTCAAATTCTTGGGCTCAAGTGATTCTCTTGTCTCAGCTTCTGAAGTAGTTGAGACCACAGGTACCTGCCACAATGCCTGGCGATATTTAGAGACAAGGTCTCACTCTGGCTCAGGCTGGTCTTGAACCCATGAGCTCAGGCAATCTACCCACCCTGGCCTCCCAGAATGCTAGAATTACAGGCATGAGCCATCGTGCCCAGCCTACTTACATTTTTTTAAATTGATAATTAAAAAAATCAAACTATACTGCAAAGAAAATGTTTTAAACATGGCTTGGCACCCATAGCACAGTGGTTAACAGTGCCAGCCACATGTACTGAGATTGGTGGGTTTGAGCCCAGCCGGGCCAGCTAACCAACAATGACAACTGCAACAAAAAACAGCTGGGTGTTGTGGCAGGCATCTGTACTCCCAGCTACTTGGGAGCTGAGGCAAGAGAATCACTTAAGCCCAAGAGTTTGAGGTTGTTGTGAGCTGTGACACCACAGCACTCTACCAAGGGCAACATAGTGAGACTCTGTCTCCAAAAAAAAAAAGTTTTAAACATGTAATTTTTATAATTCCAACATCCACACACACACACAAAAAGGTATAGCATTCCAAAATAACCAAAAATGACACAGTATACATTCTGTTTTATGATATACCTTTCTTGTATAAATACATCATAGCTCTATGGTAATAAATTTATAATGACAACTTGATTAGGATACATGAGCTATTTTTAAAGACTACATCATATGACATTGAACAGACTGAATATGTAGCAACCCCTTCCTGATGTATTTTAGTGATTCTCCATGTTCTGCTGTAATAATACTAAACAACCTTGTATGTACATATGCCAGGTCACACTTTTAGAAGTAGTACTGCTGTGTCAAATGATTTTCTTTCTTTTTTTGTTTTGAGACAGAGTATCACTGTGTCACCCTCGGTAGAGACAAAATAGAATGCTGGGGTGATTGGAAAATGAGGAGTTTCTCTTTAATAAACATAGAGCTTTGGTTTTATATGTTGAAAAGAGTTCTGGAGACAGATGGTAATGGTTGTACAACAATATAAATGTACTTAATACCACTACACTGCATACTTAAAAATGCCCAAGAAGACTGTACTTTCAGGGATCATTTCTACAGTTTGTTACTAGAGAAGTCTCTCTGAATGTGTAGCGCACCAAAAACCATGAGGAGGAGGTGGAGTGTTTTCTTCTGAGGGTGAAGTCGGCATTTGGTGTTGCAGTTGCTGTAACTGCCACTTGCTGTTGATAATCGTTCTTCTCTTACAAGAGAAGTGAGAGGGAAAAAATGCTGAGTGATTTCGTAAAATAAAATAAAATAAATAAAATGCCTAAGAGAGGCTGGGTGAGGTGGCTCACACCTGTAATCCTACTACTATTGGGGAAGCCAAGAAGGGTAGATTGCTTGAGCTCAAGAGCAAGACCCCGTCTCTACTAAAAATAGAAAAAACTAACCAAGTGTCAATCATGGCAGGCACCTGTAGTCTCAGCTACTTGGGAGGCTCAGGTAAGATCACTTGACCCCAGAATTTGAGGTTGCTCTGACCTATGATGCCATGGCACTCTACCCAGGACAACAGAGATTCTGTCTCAAAAAAAAAAAAAAAAAAAGGCTAAGAGCACGTTTTATATTATTAATGTGTATAGATATGGTCTGAATGTTGATGTCCCCTCCAAATTCATACAGGGAAACTTACTACCATGTAACAGTTATTAGGAGGTGATTAAGTCATGAAGATTCTACTCTCCTGAGTAGGATTAGTGCCCTTAAAAGAAACTGAAGGGGCCAGCCGAGAACAGTGGCTCATGCCTGTAATCCTAGCACTTGGGAGGCTGAAGCAAGAGAATTGCTTAAGCCCAAGAGTTTGAGGTTGCTGTGAGCTATGACTCCACGGCAGTCTACTGAGGGTAAGAATAGAGACAAAGTAAGAATCTGTCTCAAAAAAGAGAGAGAGAGAGACTGAAGGAGCTAATTTGTGTGAAGCCACAACAAGGCAGCACCATTTGTACATGCAGAACAAGCCCTTAGCAGACACCGAATCTGCTGATGTATTGATACTGGACTTCTCAGCATCCAGAACTGTAAGAAATACATTTCTGTTGTTTATAAATTACCTAGACTAAGGTACTTTTGCTAAAGCAGCCCAAGTAGACCACAACAGTGTATTTTACCACAATTTTTTCAAATGGGGGACCAGATACAGTAGCTCATGCCTATAATCCCAGCACTTTGGCAGGCAGGCTGAGACTAGAGGATCACTTGAACCCAAGAGTTCCAGACAAGCCTGGGCAATGTAGCAAGATGCTATCTCTGTAAAAAAAAATAAAATTTAGCTGGACCTGGCGTGCACTCACAGCCCAAGCTACTAGAGAGCCTGGGGCAGGGGGATCCTTTGAGCCCATAAGTCTGAGGCTATAAACTATGATCATACTACTATAAGCTAGCCTGGATGGCTGAGTGATCCTGTTTCTAAAAACAAAAACAAAAAAGAAAAGCCAGGTATAGAGGCTCACACCTGTAATGCCAGCACTTTGGGAGGTTGAGGCAGGTGGATCACGTGAGCTCAGGAGTTCAAGAACAGCCTGAGCAAAGACAAGACCCCTGTCTACTAAAAGTAGAAAAACTAGCTGGGCATTCTGGTGGGCACCTGTAGGCCCAGCTACTCAGGAGACTGAGGCGAGGGGATCACTTGAGCTTAGGAGTTTGAGGTTGTAAGCTATGATGGCACTCTACCCAGGGCACAGAGTGATACGCTGTCTCAAAACAACTTCTGCAAAGCAAAAATCTAAGTAAGTCTCCTGCCAATTTCTTTCCCATCCACACATTCAAATGTCTTTTTTCCTGGAACGCTCCAGACCTTCACTCTTACCACATGAGGCCACATGTACATCAAGGACGAGATCAGACTGTGTTAATAATGCTCAGCCAGCGCCACTCCTCACCCACAAGCTTCCTGAGACCATACCCAGGGGCAGGGCTGGGGTTGCAATTCCACATGCATTTAATCATCTAAGATCCAAACCTCTAATAAGAATTTGGGGCAGCGCCTGTGGCTCAAAGAGTAGGGCACCAGCCCCATAAACCACAGGTGGTAGGTTCAAACCGGGCCCTGGCCAAAAACTGCAAAAAAAAAAAAAAAAAAAAGACAGCCATCTAGGGCGGCGCCTATGGCTCACTGAGTAGGGTGCCGGCCCCATATACTGAGGGTGGTGGGGTCAAACCTGGCCTCAGCCAAACTGCAACAAAAAAATAGCCAGGCATTGTGTGCGGGCGCCTGTAGTCCCAGCTACTCAAGAGGCTGAGGCAAGAGAATCACCTAAGCCCAAGAGCTGGAGGTTGCTGTGAGTAGTGACACCACAGTACTCTACCAACGGTGACACTCACTTTGTCACCGTTGGTAGAGTAGTGTTTTTTTTAGTGTTT